GGACTTACTTAGTTCCTGACTGTTCAGATAATCTTTGTTGATTTGTCTCATCAGCTCTGTCCTTTTTATCCAAGTAACAACCTCGGAATGCAGCACACACACGCAAGGCATCTTTCAAATTGGTGTAAGACTAGAGAAAGAAACATGAAGGTTACCGGAGCGATCATCATGAAGAACATGTCCAACTTAATACCCATGCAGAGGCTGATGTTCTTTACCTGAGTTTCCAAAGAGTTTTGGAGCAGATGAATACAGCTGAAAAGGTGTAGTTTGGAAGAGGCAACAGAGAAAATTCACTTACTGCCAAGAGATTTTCCAGCACATGTTCTCCTACAAGCTGCCTTGCTCGAGCGACAACCTCATTTGACAACATGGTCAGTAATCTTGTGAAATTTCTGTGGTCATGGTAATACCTAAAATGGAAATGAAATCACATGAAGTACAACCAGCCTCTTTTTCCTTTAGTGCTGCCAAAATAAGTTAAACAAGTCTGTTTAATGGAAGTCCCATCCTGAAAAAAACTTCCTTGAAAACCACATTTAAACATGATTAGCTGAAAGCTTCTATTAGTTCTTAACGTCAGATTTTGTAACAAAACTTACCTTGAGTGAACCCAGACAAGATAGAGAGTGTGAACTAACGGTGGGAAAACAGATACCATATCAGCAGATTTGGTTGCATAATGAAGCTTCTCAAACCAAGGTAGGAGAGTGCTCAGAAACTGCAGGTTATCATTGGTCTCTGCTTCAGCCTTGGTATGAAAAAATACAAAAGAATTGAAAACATGCATTGGCAGATCCTTTTTTCGTATTAGAGACATCTTAGTATGAACTGCAGAGTAGAAAATAAATGAAGTTTTCAAGGAACAAAACAATTATTCAGCACTCCTTTCCTGAAACATCTGCAAGTGACAATCCTCAGACAATAATAAACCGCTGACAGAAAACCATAGAAGTTTACAAAAAAAAAATGTTTTTTTTTCATTTTCTCCAATAAACCAGACATTAGATGTGGGTTCCCAGATACACAAGTACAGAATAATCGGTTGCTAAACCTCTCACTTTATAGTAAAAGCATTTTTTTCCATTGAAGAGATACATTATTGCCAACCAACCAAGGACTTAAAACTATGCCTTTTATATGATCACAATTTTCCAGTATTTCCATTAAACATGACCAACCATGAGGAAGAGAAGAATCAATTGTTTAGACACAAAATTACTGTTCACAAATGTCTAACCTTTGCAATTTCTCTTTTGACAAGATGAAAGGACTGTGCATATGTACTATGAGCATCTTCCAGGTTCATCATAATATTAAGAGCCACATGTGAACACAACTGCTCACTAACTGATGTGATCTTCTCCAGTCGCTCTGACCACATCTGATGAAAAAAAAAGGTTTTTTCATGTTTTTTTTTAAATTTAATGGAAAATAAATTCACTCAAAGCAGAGTATAACACTTGTAGTCTTCTCCTAAATAGGTTTAATATTATTACACTTTCCCCAAGAGGGCACTAGCTAAGAAATTTAACTCTCTTTAACCCTTTGATCCCTAAGAGTGACCAGTATCTCACTTCTCCTTACAATATCACCCCTGAATCACAATTTAAGGTCACAAAAGTATGTATGGAGAATATACATACAGATGTTGGGGTGTAAAAGATTTATTGCCATATGATTTCCCTGGTTTCCCTCCACTGCCTCCATTACAATATGGGAACTACTACATGCTACAGTATGTCAAAAGAGAAGAACAAAACTGCAAAGTGGGAGGGAATTATGAATTTTTTTTCATCTTGAAAAAAAATTGTCCCAAAATAAAAAATCTGGACTCATTTTAAGTTTCAGGCAGGTAATGCACTGTTCATTTCCCCAAATTGAAGTCGTTTCAGCATTTCCACAAAAAGGAACATGTTATGTTAACTTTGTGCAATTGATGGGCCATTATACACAATGATGTGAATCCAAGTTTTAGCTTTGAAGTGTTGTACTCTAGAGTAGGAAACAATACCTCTATTTCATCCAATGGACCTGGTTTTGGACCAAACTTTTTTATTTGGATCTCTGGGTCCAGCTTCAGAGTCACCTATAAAAAAAAAACTTAAAAAATTAATAGAGAATCCACTTACAATTTATTTTCAAATGGCACCAAAGCTTCTAGATAATGTATCTGCCAAACACACACTGTAGAAATTTCATTACAACTCTTTAATTAACATAGTTTCCCAAGATTTTGTTTTACCTTGATCTGTTTTATCCAATTAACCACAGCTGTCTCCAACACATGAATGACAGCAGGCCGTCTACTACTGTATGCTGCTGCCTCTGACAACACCTCAATAGATGGCAGCGGCAGAGTGACCTGATCTTTTGAACTGCCCTCGCAAACTTGCAGGACTGAAACCAGCCTGTGGACTAGGTCCATAAGTTTGTCGGCACTCACACCTCCACCCATTTCAATACTTAACAGTGGCAAGAACACATCCTTTGTCAAAGTACTTGCATGGGTCAAAGGTTGATAAGAACAATCACAGAAAGCAACATCTGTCACTATATTGTCTCTGGAGAGTTTTCCTGCTTCGTGAATCTTGACAAAGTAAACAGACTTTTCCTTTGAGCTGCTGGGTGGAGTAAGTGATGCCACAAAATTTTTGCCAGCAGGAGATGTTGAGTAGTATATAAATAGCTTCTTCATCTCTTCATTGTTGCAAAATTCAAACATAGCCTCTCTACAAAGAAGAGAAATAATCAATCATAATAAATGAAACTTGCAATGCTCTTGCTTGAGTGCAGTACAGCTCAAAAGGAGCTACATACACAACATTTGCTCGACTATTCTGAGAAGAAGGGATGTTGAGGACCCTCTCAAAATTTAGTCCTTGTAAAATTACTAAATGTGAATTTTGAATATAAGTGATTTAACCCATTTCCTTAATAAGTGCCCACTCTCTACTAAGCCCCCTCTCCCAATGAAGCACCCACACCCTGCACCATAATTTCAAACAAGCGCCCCTCTCAAATTAGCCCCCTTTCCATCCTTCTTCACTTTCAGAAATAGCTACATCTATAGAAACAAGGAACTCCTGCTCATATTAACACTTTATTTATATCTTTTAAAGCTTCAATTACAGCAGAATTAGTACAGGTTAATAGCTTCTTAGTAAGCACCCCCCACTCTCTATCCAATAGGTGCGCCTCCCCTTAGCCAAAATTTTAAATGAGGAGTAGGCACGTATTTGAGGAAACATGGTATTTTCATTTTATTGAATGGAATAAAGCAATCTAGTAATGTGGTCAAAAACATAATAATGGTGATCCTGAAACAGGCTCACATTTTGATGCCTTGATTGAAGCTTGGTTCTTAAAAGTCTTACACAAAGTCTACAATCTCACTGGAAGGCAATCAACCCAGTTTCCATACCCAGTATGAACTAAACTTATAGCTATTCTGCTTACAAAAATCATAGTTTGGAACCTCAGCCTTTAAATGTTCTGTATCTTGAGATATATATATATATATATATATATATATATATATACCCTTGAGTAGGGAGTAAGTATCAGAATCTACCACAAAACTACTTATCAACACAAAGATTGATTGCAAAATATAATTTAGGTTGTATGGAACTCTTATATCATCATAGAAGCCACAAAATCTTTGGCTAACACTAAAAAACAACACCTGCTCTTTTCATTGGTGAACATGTGCTTTAGCTCCTCTGCTCGTGGTTTGAGGGATGATGTCACCCTTGTCTCTATCCACCTCAGCCTCTCATCCAACTCCATGTTTCAGTCTTTATTTATTTATCTTGATTGGAACTTGATTTCATTTCTTTCTCTGAAAAGTACATTTAAACACATTTAACTGAACTGTTCATTCACCAACTCAGGCACAAATAGGAATACATCTATGACTTGTGATCCAAATCAAGAAAGACATTTATTTAGTATATAAAGATAACTCTCTGAACATTTTTCTAACCCTTTAACTCCAAGAAGTGGTTAACATAAAACTTCTCTTTAAAATATCCATACATTATTCAGCAAAAAGGTAATGAGAATATTCAAACTTCTCAGGTAGAAGCTGCTATCTTTATCTAGCACCAAGCTCTCATAACTAATTTACAGGGAAATGTGTAGCAGCTAGAGGGGAGAATTAACAATCAGATCTTGAGAGTGTGCATTTCTACCTGGCACACTCCCAGCATTAATGATCACTACATTTCCCAAAGATCTGCCCATTCTCGCCAACACTCTCATTTTAGGCAATCACTTAGACATAGAGTTCTACACTAAAACTGACTTGAAAAGATAACTTAATTAAGTCGTGATCAATCACGTAACTCGTCTCTGTTATCAGAAGAAAAATAGTTCTGCATGTGGTGAACGACTTGTAGCAAAGGTTCGAACATCAAAAAGAAATATACTTTTGACAATTGCATTTCTTTCATGTGTTACAAATGAAGACGACAAAATCAAACAAGCCAAAATAAGCTAGAGATCAAAACCTGCAAAAATAAAATCTGAAAATATACAGGAAATCGATTATAATTGACTGTGAAATGAGCAAGGTTTTTTTTTTCAACTTTAAGCTAATCGTATTGAGCTACAGCAGTTCGCATATAGATCAGTGCACTTTCATCTTCTAACAGTATTATCGCGCATAAGTAAGTTGTCGGTCAAAGCCTACTTGATAAGTGAGAAATTTGGAATTCGCGCCTACTCTCACAGCCTGCAAAAGTCACTTCTGACTACATCTGAAGCCAATCCTCTCCACTTGTATACAAAATAAAAGTAACTTACAGCTTACCTGCATGAATTCATCCACTTCTTCGCCTAAGAATTTAAGAAATGATCACGTCTGACAAAACCTTGAATGCGTTTGTTGTGCTGTCTTGTATAAAAAGTCCGCCATCTTTGTTTGACTTCGTTGCTAGAGTTATAGTCACGTGACCTGATATCGATCTAGTATTGATTGCCCGAATCAAGTTAAGATGGCGGACGGAGCGATTGGAAACGATTACAAGTGTTCAGCTGGGATTATCATTATAGGAGACGAGATCTTAAAAGGTCATACCAAAGATACAAATTCTTACTATCTCTTTAAGAAATTATGGTCCTTAGGAGTTAAAGTGGGAAAAGTTTCTGTGATTTCAGACGACGTGGACGAAATTGCCCACGAAGTAAGAAAATTCTCCTCTAGATATTCTGTCGTTATAACTACTGGCGGAATTGGCCCCACTCATGACGATGTTACAATGCAAGGCATCGCTAAAGCCTTTGGAGAAGATTTAGTTCTTAATGATGAATTAGTGGAACTAATTTCGAATTCATATCAGCATGAGATTAACTCGTCCCATTTGAAAATGGCTCGGGTTCCTTCGTCAGTGAAACTGGCTTTTGGAAAAGATCCCTCGGGAAAACCGAGCTGTTTCCCACTCATATCTGTACATAACGTGTATGTTTTTCCTGGAGTGCCGAAGTTCTTGGAAAAGTCGTTTGGCCTTTTGGAAGATATTCTTTTAATTTCCAACCGTGAGAAGCGGTTTCTGCTGCGAAAGATTTACCTCTCAGTAGATGAGACAGAAGTTGCTTCCATTCTGGATGAGGTGTGTGAGAAATTTAAAGGCATAGTACACTTAGGGTCATACCCTGATTTCTGTGACCAAAATTTTAAAGTAAAACTGACTGTGGAGTCTGCTAGTTCAAAGGATCTCCAAGAGGCCTGGGACTGTCTCCTGGGAAAGTTACCCAAAGACTATGTGGTGAAGACTGAGGAGGACGCACGTGTCTGTGATGCTTCACCTTCAGAATGTAAGTTTTGTTTCACAAAAGTATATGTAGATTACTAAGCAGGAGGTTATCATGACTGCAAGTCCTTTTTTTGTATGTTTTACGGATTGAGATTGAAATCTATCTAATACCTCCTAGTTAGAAAATATGATTCACTTCATCTTGTTTGATTGTGGGATGAGCCTCTAACTTTTTTTTTTTAACTGTATTTGCAATGAATGTTGCAGTGATGCAGAGACAGTTTGTCATAAGAGGTTAATCATGAAGTGTGCTAGCCCTGTAAGACTCCTGACTTTGTTTGTGACTATAAGGCTTTGAAAACCTCTGCAGAAGTCATTACTTAAGTCCATTGAGTAGTCATTTGTTAGAGTGGGCCCAGTTGATCAAAGGGCAGATAAAGTGATCCAACAGATAAATTGCTATCCATCAAATAAGTGTTAACAAAATATAATGCACTATCCATCAGGTAGAGAATTATCCATTGGATAGCATTATCCATTCTTCAAACAACTGGGGGCAGATGTGTAAAGCTGCACCCAAGAGACCTTTTACAGCAGAGATCTCAAATGAATTCTCCTTTCTCGCTGTGATACATTTTTAGTGATGTTAACTGTGAGAATTTGGAGTCAAATCACAAAGCACTCCTTCATTAATGCTGATAAAGGAAATTCTTGGAGGAAAAGAGTTTGAGAACTTATCACTGACAGTAACCAACAACAGTCCTTTTGAGGATAAACTTTATCTGGACAATCACAGTGAAGGAGCACTTGATACTATAATTTCTCCACTGAGAGGTCTCTACCTTCTCTTTCCTTAGATCTGAAAATAAGTTCTCCTCTCTGTCGTTAATAAATATTATATAATTGTAGCTCTGAGAATTTGTTGTTTAATCAAACAATAAACTCTTCTTGATATTTCACTTTTTTTCTTATCACGTTTCTGATTGTGACAATATTATTGGGAGAAATCATGGAATGGTCATTCACAATTTTTCCATTAAGGAGTCTCTACCCTTTCTTTTGTTAGATCTAAACATCAATTCTCTTCAATGTCTTTGTACAGCTCTTATCATTGGAGTTCTGAGAATATGTCATGTAATCAAACAGTATCATCTTATTGATATTTAACTTTCTTCTCATCTCCTATCTGACAGATGATGTACCAACATTGTAAGGAGAAATTAATCATTAGTCACTCCCAGGAGTAAAAGGGTTAACCTTCTCTCCACTTGGAAAATAACTAATATTTTAATAACCTATTACTATATTTTAGGTCCACCCAGCCCTACCTCTCTGAAAAAGGATGCTAAGCAGGTGGTGAATGTGGAGAAAGTGTACAGCCTCCTTGATCCCGAAGATGAATCAAACACAAGTGCTTGCCTTAAAGGTGCCTGGGCTATTATACAACAGACACTTCAGCTGTATTCTCTTGATGAGCTGTGCATCAGTTTCAATGGTGGCAAGGACTGCACTGTGCTGCTCCACATTTTGCATGCAGCGCTGAATAAATTATCACTACCTGCCCAAGAGCTAAAGGCCCTATACTTTCGCTACGAGTCACCATTTCCACAAGCAGAAGAGTTCATCTCAGAAACTACCAAAAGGTACAATTTGAATCTCGTAACATTGACAGGGGACATTAAAACAGGTCTGAGGACATTGAAAGAAACTCACCCAAAAGTCAAGGCAATGTTTTTGGGCACCAGAAGGCATGACCCATTTTCTGATATACTACGCACATTTTCTCCAACTGACCCAGACTGGCCACATTACATGAGGGTTAATCCAATTCTTGATTGGCATCATGCAGATGTCTGGGCAGTGATCCAGGAATGTAATATTCCATACTGCAGTCTATATGATGAAGGGTACACATCACTAGGAAGCACCCACAATACTAAACCTAACCCTGCCTTGAAGTGTAGTGATGGTGGTAACAAGTATAAACCAGCCTACATGTTGGAGGATGGGAAACTAGAGAGGGCAGGGAGAACCTGATTGACTTTTTTGTTAAGTAAAGAGTACTGTTGGATTAACTTGTGCAGCAGATTTCTCACTTTTGGAATGAACAGTTGGACAAAGACTGAGCTGTGCTGTAGATTGAGACTAGGAAGGGTTATGTCAATTAAATACATGTACATGAAGGTACCCTTTTTTTTTTAGGGGGGTTGGGAATGGTTCAGTTTAACACACAATGTGTGTTGCTTGTAACTATTTCTGACCTTAAACTATGCAACTTTGTGTATTCAGAGCAGATACCTCATCAAGATAATTATAGTCTGCTATGCACTTTGTATCTTTGGTATACAAAAGTTTAAAAATACTTTTCTTTTCATGGTTGCTTTGAAAATTGAATAAATAATCAAATGAGTAAGCATACTCTGTTTTCATTTATTTCACATTACACTCATTTCTAAATTGAAGCAGGAACTTGTTCCTGAAAAATGCCCAGCGACTAAGATATCACACTAACAGACATGGTAATTGCATAGCTCAATATCGTATACAACATCCTGCACTGATTTGAATTGAACCTCTATCTCTGAATTTTCTTTCATATTTTTTTAACATTTCATCTAATATATGTGCAGAAAATCATCAAATAGCATGGTTTAAAAACCTTGCATAGTACAAAGTTGGACTTCGCTGTGTACCTCCAGTAGGAACTTTTAAGGTACCTACAAACAGTCAGAGCTCGGGAAAAGTTTGAATGCCAACCTGCACATACCTGAGTCATTCTCCTGTGAGCCTGAGCTTATTAAAAAATTTATAGGGAGGAGATAAAATGGAAATTAATTAAACACTAACAAGTGATAGTATCAAACTGCAAGATATTGGATATACAAAGGCATTATACCTAAGTTGTGTTTCCCTTGTCTTCTGCAAAATATTTAACATTCAACTTTTGATACAAAATTTATATAAACTACCATTTTCAAATGGTTGCACTTGCTATTGACAGGATTTGCAACATTCTACCTTTGCATTTGAATCCATCTAAGTATGGACTTTAATGATCATTTGAAATACTATCACACTTGACAATTTAGATGTTCACTTGTCAGTCTTATCCTACTACACCACTAGGACTGGATCCTTTTACCTCCTTGTTGCGTTAGCTAATGTCCTATTTAATTGGTTAACTTTCTTTATTAGGTTTATTTAGAGCTGAGCTAACAATGTTGTCCCTCACAAAAGAAGGGAGGCTATTTTTTTCCTTCAAACATGGTTGAAGATGGTTTTGAGCAAAACTATTTCTACAGCCATTATTCAATTTTACCATGTCTTTAAAGCCCACTGCTCTAGCCTATTTGATATAATTAATGAGCTGTTTGATTCCTAAACTCTTTCTGATACAGTCACCTTACTTTGGTATTCCTACATTATGAATAGCAGCACATACTTATGATATTCCATTTTTGTCCTTCAGTTTTCTTGTCACAAATTTGTTCTTTGACTTCATGCAAATAATCAATGTACAAAATGAAGTAAATGGGGTAAGTTTTTAGAGAAACTGTGGTGTTGTGTTGGCAGGAGAATACAACAGTAATTTAGTATTATCAACTGAGTTGATAATGTAAAGTGGCCACTGTTTAGAGTTTAAAAGCTGATGTTCCGAGCGTCAGCCCTTCATCAGAGTGATTAGAGTTTAAAAAGCTGACATTACCAGCGTTAGCCCTTCATCAGAGCAATTGGAGTTTAAAAAGCTGACATTTTGAGCATTAGCCATTTATCAGAGCAATTGTAACTTAAAAGCTGATGTTTCAAGTGTTAGCCCCTCATCAGAGTGATTGGAGTTTTAAAGCTAACATTTTGAGCATTATCCCTTCATCATAGGGATTGGAGGTTAAAAGCTAACATTTTGAGCATAAGCCCTTCACCAGAGCAATTGCTACAAAATGAAATAGTTTTAGTTCTAAATCTGATATCATGAATTCTACCAATAAAAAATACATATATCCTAGTAGATGTTTTGGTGTGTGGTATCTCTGAATATTTCTACAAGTTGTGCCGTATTTTGACAAGCCCATAGGGTAAGTCAAAATACAAACAATGAGTAAGACTACTTGGCAATACTACACACCAAGACATTAAATAAGTTATTTATTATCCAACTGCTTTTTTTTTCTGCAAATTCTTTCTGCTAATTTCACATTAGGTGGGAAAAGCAAAGTGGGTAGGAAAGCATAGCTTGCGCAGCCAACTGGTCAAACATATTTTTTTTACAGTACAAAATAACCAACTGTCCAAATAACCATACAAAATCACAGGATATCTGAACTCTATTTACCCCCTATTTGAATTCTACTTTTGTGCTGTTGGATAATAAATTTAATTACAGCTTTGAAATTCTTTGATATTAAACAATAATTGTTCAATATCAAAGAATTTCAAAGCTAAGTTTGATTATTTATTACTCAATAATATGCTGTTAATACCAATAGTCATCTTTCTTTCTTTTCTTTTGACGATGTACTATATTATTTTTCTCCTCACTGGAGAGAGCATCCTCAACATCACCCTCATTTTCCTGCCAATTTAAGGAAACAGCCTCTCTAACCTGACAGAATTGAAAATAAGGACGCACTCCACCTTTGACACCTTGCCAAGTGTCACTCTCTTGGGTGCGCTGATTGAACATCATGAATGTCTCAGTATCACAGTCCAAATAGCATTCAATTACATCTTTGTCATTGCAGTTAGTTATTGAACTCAGTTTGGGCACTGATAAAGCCTGACTGTACTTAGTTTTGGATTTCCACATCCAGTGAGCTTCCAAATTCACTGAATTGTCAGTCACAGAAGTGCTTTCAACAATACCAAAAGCAAATTCTTCAGAAATGTCACATAGCTGGACTTTCCATGAATGTTTAGCATTGGAAAATGTATTAGATCCAACTACTGCCATTCCGCTTTCAAAGGTTATTCTACTCTTGCCCCAGGAAGTTGGTTCTGTGGTTAATACCCTTTTTGAGGGTTGTTTGCATACCTTTTTTCCTTCCTTAAACTTTCTTTTGGCCATTGGTATATTGCATTTACAGGATGCCATCATAGAACCATTTGTTAGATAACACCAACTACCTGAGCAAAGATTCCACATTTCATTAAACCACTTGTAGGGACTTCCCTTTATATGACAACCATTGAGTTTCACAGACAGCTGGTACTGCAAATTCTTAGCATTTGGAGTTACACAGAATGTATACTTTCCATTTCCACAGTCTTTAGGTGAATCATTGAATACTACATCACCTGCCTGTGTGCAGATTTCTACTTCACATCTATCACCACCTTCCTGCTGTTTCCTCCCATTGCGCCCTTTTGCAATGACAGTGAATTCAACACGTTGTCCACACAGTGTATTATACATCACATCCTCTAATCCATTTCCCATAACAACTGTTGATGTACAAGCACATGTGAGTCTATCAGTGACACTTCCAAAGTTGGTTATCATCTTCTCCAATTGGTCACAAGCAGAAAATGTGAAGACATCATGTGCACATGGCTCCAGTTGCCATTTTGTTGAAGTTAGTTCCTGTAATCGGCCAGTCATTTGCTTGTGCATGTTTAAAATCTCAACTTCACTACCATTTTCCAAAGCCTTTTCTGTGAATTCCAAGCTGCTTTGCAAGGTACACAAGGCTGCCTCCAGTTCTTCCTGTTGATTATTTAAAGACTTCTGCTTGGCTTCTTTCAGCTTTAAAGTGCTATGAACTAACTCTTCACAACGAGAATTCAGACTAGCTATTAGGCTCTGAAAAAATTCAATAACTTCTTGAACAGTCTTTTCTGAGCCCAATTCAACACTTCTTTTCTTCTCTGAAACTCTATCAATTGCCTCCTTAAGTAACCCTGCTTTACTTTTTGTCTCTGAGAGAATTTTCAACATGCTTTTCTTATTCTTTGCAAAAGCATCTTTTACAAATGTATACTTATGTTCACGATGCTTCACAATTGTACAGTCTCTGCAGATAGCTTCATTGCATGTCTCACAAAACAGCTTCAATAACTCTCCATCATGTTCCTTGCAAAAACTGGGTTTTTTCACAGCCTCAGATCCCATCTTTTTTGCTTCTTCAAGTGACACCAGACAATGTTCCCTTGTGTTACGTAAACGACGGTGAGCCTGGGTGCAAAACTCACAGAGGAAGTGGCAGCATATGGTACATCTGTTCACAGGAGGGTCCCCATTATCACAGAGATCACACTCCAAGTTCCTACTTCCAGAATCACCATGAAGAGAAACCATGGATAATAAATTGTTGAGGAAGAAGTTAACCGGTAGGAAATCAACGTTGCCATCAGGAATCTGTGTAGGCCAAAAAAAAACATAATATATGACATAATAGTCTGTTTCTATGTTTTTCATACATTTGTTTGAAATTTGCTTACTTCAGTTTCTTTTCCATTGGGGGTGGGGGGTGTTATGTCAATGTCAAGATGCTCAACAATTATACTAAGAAACAGAGGGAGGTGCTCGTTTGAAATAATCTTTTAAATTTCTCTCCTTTTTCTATTTTTCAAACTGGGAAAAAATCTTTTCCAAGCTACTCAATTTATCAGAAGCTTGTATTAGAAAACCGTTGTTGCACAGATTTCCATATGACTCCAACCACATACTAGTCTGAAACAAAGAAGTTCTCCCAAGTGGAGGGGTGGTATAGCCCAGGAGAACAACTTGTGTACATGTACTACTTTGCGCAGCTAGCCAAGGTTTAATTTAATAACACTGTATCTTACCAATAGCACTAGACATGGGGAAAATAAACAATGCACACAACAGATAACTGATGTATTTTCCTTCATGTTTAATTACTGAAGATGCCTTGTGAAAAACACAGGAAATGGCATTCTGAGACCCTAAATTTGAAAATTTTCTGGGGGAGCATGTTCCTGGTCCCCTTTAATTTCATGTACCTTTGCCTCATGATATTTTCTAAGTGTCAGTTCACCTTAAGAATCTCAGGTTAAGCCCCTGCGAGAGGATTTCAACTTCTCAAAAAAATCTGAGTTATTTTAAAAACAATGTGATAACCAGCTGAACAATAACATGCAATAATGCTCAACTAGTGTTTAAAACAAAGGCTGAAAAATTCTTACAGTTCAATTATTCATTGGTGTCATATACTGCATAATTCTTAATTTTGTCTGTCTATATATACAAGCATTCATGCCAAGGGAAGCCATTAAATTTGTTGTGAATATCATAATTTCTCATATGCAATTAGTGAAACCACACTGTAGAAGTAGGGAATAAGATAGGAGTACTGAATTCTTAGCTTTACATTTGGCTTTTTGGTTTCATTTCTAAATGGCATAATCCCAGAATTGGGAATTAATGCAAGTGAATACACATTTGAAACTGCAATAGCTATTAGATTGCTAGAATCGCTGGTCAAACTGAGATAACCAGGTCTGTGAAAACTAGTCTGTAATAATGTTCATCTTGAGAAAATTATCTCTTCTCCCACGAAAAAATGGTGACCCCAGAGATTGGTCAAAAATGATACATTTAATCACAGCTTGCCAAAAATACCAGGTTTCTGATCCTCTTACTAAACTGAAGATGGGAGTAATATAATGAAGGGTGGGAGTTGGGGAGCAGAGGGGAAAAAAAGTATGGGAGGTGGAAGAAAGAAGTATGGAAAGTGGCAGGCTGTGACCTCCTCCTTTCCCCCTTCCCCCCACTCCCAAAGGCAGCCAATTGTTTTTGCGTTTTTTCTTTAATCCAAAATTAAAAACTGTATGTATCTTTACTGAAGTTTGGGGCTGCACTGAAATCTTGCCCTATCGTCTTTTAAGCCAACTTCAATTAAGGCATTCAAACAAGACGAGAAATTTAAGATAATTAAGGGCAACCAGACGAGGTCTAAAACAAGAGGTAATTACTTGGGCTTTCCAAAGGAAACACCCGAGGCATAAATTCGGCTTTCTTTTTTTTTTTTTTTTTTTTTTGTGTGTTCAGTCACAAAACGCAGTTTCACTACAGTGCATGCATAGAATGAACCCTAGAGCGTATGGTTCAAAGCAATGGCTGCCTTCATGGGCAATTCCTAGCTTGATGTACGCAAAAGAAATTCAATGGCTATTATGCTCAATATACATACAAAGTCACACACTGTTCGCGGTAGACCCACACTAAAACTTGTGGAGCATTTTGGAAACAGGTCGGTCCACGAACTTTATGAGAGATCAATTTACAAGTGATCCTTTACAAGTGAACTTTCTATTGAGAAATATCAAGCGAAACCTGCTATATCAAACGAGCTATCGAGCTATCTAATATTATGTTTACATTTAAACACAACCGTGTATTTAGAAGTGATCAAGAACCCAATAGAAAACCAGAAGCTACTCTGAAACATCTCAGAAGAAAAGGCAGAAAACTGAAGGAATTTGTTTATGAGTGTATTCATCCAAGCATACTGAAGTCCTCTTGGCTATGTCGTTATGTGAAGGTTAGAAGAGTTACAAAGAATGTTTGTAAGCTTAATATGAAGAGGGTAAGATTAAATAAAATGACACAACATGAGAAGAAGTATTTGTTGAATTGTTCTGTGAGGGTATATCAAAGGATAATTAAATTGAAGTGTGGAGCAAGTTGGTATTTATCAAAGTTCTCTCGTAATGTGACCCTAACAAAACAAAAACGGCACCATATAGCCAAGTGAATGGGTTGGTATTTGGACAAAATTCAGGACAACAATGTGTTGCAATGAGTCATACTCTTTGATTTACAATAACAAACAAGGAATCAATTCTGCTGATGATCTTGTGTCAATAACGAAAATTGGAAATCGGTTGTATTCAAGTTTGTCTCAGTTAACCAGACAATCATTTTTAATGCAGACAGAATTACCCACACTTTAAAAATGTGTTAGAGACTGACTATGAACTTCAATACAGTGAGAGCTACACTGGTACTATTCATCAAGAAGCTACAGTAGAAGGATATCAGCACTGTACCTCCTTAGATAGAGCCTTTCAATCACTAATATCCAAAAATTTCAACAATTTTGTATTGACAATGGGATGTACTGCAGTTGCTATCTGTTGTAAAGGTAATGTGGGCATTGAAAAGTCCTTGAATTCCAACCTTTGGCATCTGTAGGAACCTACTCCTATATGGTAATATATTATTTTGATTGTTGTCTAGTACCATAACAACATTCATTACACTCCAGCAGACAAAAATAAACACAAGTAGACTCATTCATGACCGGCAATGACGAAATTGCGTGACGACAGTAACAATGGCAATATGACAGTTCCCTAAAGATAACTCCAGATGTGCGATATTGAAAGCACGAGTTCACGCAGTTATGCGTCTAGTTTATATTAAAATTATGTGATGTTTTCCATCAAAAGAAATCAAAGAATGTCCTACCTTCAGTTTCACATGGCTTACATCCGTTGTTCTCATTCAACCTAAAGCACGCAACTCCATCTCGTGATCACCCCTTTATTTCCTCAAGTCTTAGTATTGCCCCTAATTCGTGCTCTGCCACAAAGCAAAGCACAGCCTTCCTTTGTGAAGGTAAATTCGAGTCACGCGATGGCAGAAGCTAATCTTAAAAGTACAGCGTAAGGACTCTGCTAAAAAATCGAATGATTAACAAGGCTACGTCAACTTTAGTGTCATTTCACAACCGCTTTTCACGATAATCTTGGCCCAGTCGTACAATGTAGCGTATTAGATTAAGTCCCATTCGTAATAACGAGTTCTGTGATCGAGTAATAGGATACTAAGTTGTAAGACTGAATCACCCGACAAGTTAACATCTACTCAATAAAAATACTAACCTCTACACTGATCCAACAAGAAGGACAATTCAACTTCCAAGCGTTTCCTTCTCTACAGACCAGCCCCTCCAGACATATTTTACAGAAGGAATGAAGACACGGAAGAACTTTGGGATCTTTGAACTGTTCCAAGCACACAGTGCATTCCAATTCCTTCTCTAGATTTTCGGCCAACGTTGAAGCTTTAGCCATTTTTGGTAGATCTCCTTCCTCTCCAGAAAAAAAATGAAAAAACGCACAAGACAGTTCGACGACCGAGTGGAAATCGAAGAGCTCAGAGTTTCTAGGAAAGCGACGTTCTGGAAAATCACGTGATAATATTCAGTCCACCCTTTTTATTACCGTAGGTACGCAATGCGTACAAGTATGTCTAATTGCTTGCAGTTCAGTAGGCTTTGAAGTCGCGGGTTTTTGAGCAAGTGGAAAAAATTAATTAAAGATTTTCTGGCTACCTATGATCTTAAATGGCCAATTTCTCATGGAGATTAACTCAACTAATGATTAATATTCCAGCCATAATTATTATTGCTAGATGGTGATGGATAAGACAGTTGAGCTTCCTAAGCCACAAAAAAAAAAAACCAGAAAAAAGAAAGCTAGCTGATTAACAAAGGAGTCGGTAACCCAATAGAAAGAGAAAGACTCGTAGCAAAAAAATGGGGTACAGAACATGTATTGAAATATAAGCTATAAGTAAATTTTGATGTTTTAGGAATAAGTTGCTCTGGGTGATTAAAAAATATATCCATTCTAATGGCCCATGTGCTGTTTTAACATGTCTTGAAACTGTGAGGAGAATTTATAAAACTTTTAAGATTTTGGAAAGCTCGTTAAGCATTATAAAATAACAAAGCAACTAAAAAAGATGGAAAGGAGACATAGATATCTTTATAAGGATTTAACAGACTTTCACAGCAATAGGCCATTTTACAGTTGTGTACTTATTTGCCAAGCCTTTGATGTAGAGTGGAGCTGAAGGTGACCTTGTCGTGATAGAGACCAGTATCTAGTTAGCACAGTAACAAAGTGATTTACATTTGAAAAGCAGCAACGTTTGTATCATAACAAGGCCACCTTTAGCCTCACTCCAATTCAAAGGCTTGGCAACCAAGCACATAACTATGATATATACTATAGGAAAAAACACAAAGGGACATATGATGCTTTAAAAATCATCAACTTGAAATGAATAACATCTAAGTTAATTTTCAATGTCTGATTTATTTTCATTAAGACGATTCATTCTGTAATGAGCTTGACAATTATAAATGTATATATCTGAGAAAAAAAACCCAGAATTAAGCAAATAGGTGGGAATTATTTAGCTAAGGCCCATAGCTAAAAAGTTTTCCTTATTTGATACTCAATTTTAGGTAGAAACTATAATTTTATTATAGAAATTTATAAGTGGAAACTTAATGTAAAGCTTGTGATTTAGAAATAAATTTACAATTCATACAAATATGTGTGAATTGGCAGAGAAACATTCCAAATGGTTCTGAAGAAAAATCTTTCTTGCTCCAACTTTGATACCAGTATGTTAAATCAGATCTCATGCACAGCTTGTTACCATCGGGAGACAGAGGATTAGGCTGGTATTAGTCACCTAGCACCCACATCCATTGCAGAAAGGAAGAGCTGGCCTGAGGTATCAAGGAAATAATACCAGTAATTATTTAGTCATACCTGCAAAAAAATTCTGTAAGGCCTGTTTTTTTCTGACATTTTTTATTCACCATCAACTATAATTGTAACCACCCATTAAAACATCATGCCCTAAAGTAAGTTATAATAAAGTTCGGATATAACGCGCGCTGTCATTGGTTGAAAGAGCGTGCTCTATGAGAGTATAGAGCATAGAACTGAGCTACAGCTGTCACGCCATCTACCAATTGTACTATGTTCGAGCTTTTCCGGAACTTCTTTTTAGCTTTTTTCCGATAATTGAAAGTGAAATTTCGGAACTGAAGCGAGCCGGAAAGTAGCAACAGAAGAATCAAATAAAGGATTGTAAACATACCAGGCGCCATCCTCAAAGGAAAAACAAAATAAACATTCCGAGTTTTAAAGATTTTCACGCTCAGTTAGATTGCAAGCTTATGTACGGTAATAAAAATCAAACACAGCTAACACTCGTATAGTATATAAAGTTCAGTGTTCAAAAACAAAAGAGAACAAAATAGAAATGATAAAAAATATAACAAAACTGGCATAATTGTTAAAATTCATACTAATCATGACGGTGTCTGAGCGAATATGATCATGCTAAGTTCATCGCGGCTCGCTCATCATGGCGATCTCAGGTCATCACAGTAAAGCAAGCCTCAGAAACTACATCGGCCACCTTTCGAGTGAAAAAATAAGAGCTTGCTCTGATATCCTTTCCGATACGTTGAGTGGCAATTCACATAAGTCACTGCAGCTGAGTTTTGCGGCGCTGTCATCACGTGCGATCTTCATGTTCCGGTGAATTCGGCTGTCGTTCATTCAAAAAACACTCGCCTTGAACAGTTTGTTTTCAACTTTGTCATGTGAAAAAACTCGCGTGTTTTTATGGGCCATAATTCGGCTGAAGTTCACTGAACATTTCACTTCAAGATTCTATATTAGAGACTTAAAAACTTCAGGCAAAAGTGTTAAATTCGACTTGCCGAACTATTTTAGTTTGTAAACTATCGTAGAATGTGAACTTTGATGGTTTGACACTTTTGACAGCTTTAGTCTTGTAAAGCCGATCAGATTATTTGAACCATTCTAACAGGGATTCTGATTGGCTTCTTGTAGCGTGCTTTATGAGAGTATAGAGCATGCTGACGACATTGTTGTTCGCTT